CGCAAGTTCCGTACTCTTCGTGCCTGACGTCAAGCCAGTTGAGCTAACGGTGGTGTTGTCTTGTCTTGTCGATCGCCAAGGATATTTCGAAAAAGTCTTAACGACTAATTTAATTTTAGAGATGTGCTCATCGTCCGATCTTGCTGACGTGTCAAAGTTTCCAACAAGTTGGGATATGATAAAGGACAAAAATCCGATGTGTATATGTGAAAAAGTCAACTATTTTGATGAGCTCATTATTTTTTCTCTCTATTATATATGTACTTTCACTAATAATATGACACATATAATAGACAAAAAAAAAAAGGAAAGAAAACCCTATAATAATGTTATCAACGACATCCCCTGATTGATAATGATTAAATTATACATTGTATATTGCTTCGATAATTTCCATCTCTAAATTTTATTTTTCTTTTTTCCATCTCTAGATTAAATTACGGAATTTTGCAATTATTTATTTCAACTACGATAACTTTTTTTTTTAATGGAATTGCTTAATTATATCGCTGTAGCATAGAAAGTAGAAGCGCTTGAAAAGTGTTTTAAGAGTAATATTTCAAATACAATAATGAAACTGATAGAGGGAACAAACACATTATTGATTAGGATTCCAAGTCGTCGGCCAAGTGTAGATCCCGTATTCAGGCTGGCCTAGGGGCTAGGGCTTATCCATCTAATAACTTTACATATTCCACGTTTATAAGTTCATTTAGTTATACACATCTTGCATATGTATGTATAAATTCAATCAGAGAGTAAGTCAAAACTCATATCAGATAAACAAATCGAGACATTTCCTAATTAGCGCTTGGGCTGTTGGAGAGACTTTTCTTTTTGTGATAATGGCTATGCATCGATCGTGGTCTGCCGAATTATATAAAAAAAAATGCTGGCAACTCAATAATTTTAGATATTTGATGATGACGGACCATTAGACTTTCTGCATAATTTTCACATTCCAGATATAGACGTCCTCGTTGACTCTTTTATATTCAAACTACTACTATAAGACTATATTTAGATCCAATCGTCCAAGTGTTAATTTCATCTAACGTTGCATATATGCAGACAATATTACAGATGGTGACATGTTTATTTGTTGATACATGCAGAGTTAGTCATTTACATATACGGTAATTATGAATGTTATTTTTAAACGGGATTGGTTCATTATTGGTTTACTACCTGATGACCCACATATATGTACTTACATGTAAAGGAAGGGCTGATCATTGTGGGCTACTAATTAATCAACTAAAGCCCACGAAGAACCTCTCTAATATGAAAGGCTTCCTATTGATTAACACCAAATGTGTTATTTAGGTGGGGTTATTGAATGTAGGACTTCTATTGAATTTGAAAGAAGTTAGAATTTTTATATATCGTTCAATTATGTATTACCTAGATTTTTGTTTTAATTGGTTTTAGCATTCTATTAAATGGTAGTGGTATATTCAATATATTAAAGATTGTTTTGATGACAATGTTGTTTGATATTTCATAGAAAATTATAATTTAAAACATGAAGAACCAAATAATATATTTTAGGAAAAAAGATGGTTGGGTACACCAATTATAGCGGAATGCATGGTCACACATGCCAAGTATCCTATTGTATACTCAGCTACACGAACTAGATGTATTGCATGGCCACATGCATCAACTATACAACATCATGTAGTTAACACCATAGACATAAAATTCTGGTACACCGGTCAACTAACTCTGGCGTTGACCTGTGTTGACTCCGGCATTGACTCCGGCGTTGACCGTTTTTTACCCCAAAAAAAATTCCAAATTTTTTTTATTGTTAAAAAAACTAAAAACAGTAATTATTTTATAATGAATCGTTATGGTTTTGTATACTTTAAAAAAATATAATCTTAGGAAAAAATTGTAACAATAATTTTTGTATTTAAGTAAATCTTGAGTTATTTTACTATTAGTTTAGCTCGAAATTTTTTAAAATAACTAATTATCATAAGAATGAATACATTAAAGATTTAAACAAATCTAGTGTCTAGATATTGAATATATAAAAACAAAATCAATATTTTTTTTATTAATTTTTTTATGGTTTTGTGTAATGAAAAAGATATAATCTTAGGAAGAAAATTGCTATGATGATTTTGTATTTAAATAAATCAAATAATAAGTCAATATTTTTTATTAACAATATAAAAATAAGTAATTCCCTTACTAATTCACAGAATTTTTCTAGTTTTAATTTAGATTTTAATATCTTGAATTATTTTACTATCTTGAATTTTTCTAGTTTTAATTTAGATTTTAATATTTTAAATTAAATACAAAATCATTATCGTCATTTTCTTCCTAAGATTATTTTTTAATAATATAATTATCTTGAAATTGTTTATAGTTTTGTATAATTAAAAATTAAGAATTAATTATAGTTTTTAGTTTTTTTTACAATAAAAATAAAATTATATAAAAAATGTTTGGAATTTATTTTTTGGTCAAAACGGTCAACGCCGGAGTCAACACCGGTCAAACCGGTCAATGCCAGAGTCACTTGACCGGTGTACCAGAATTTTATGTTTATGGTGTTGACTACATGACGTTGTATAGTTGATGCATGTCATGCAATACATTTAGTTCGTGTAGTTGAATATACAATATGATAATTGGCATGTGTGACCATGCATTCCGTTATAGTTGGTGTAGCCATTGATCTTTTTTCCTATATTTTATGGTATCATTTTGGACGGAATATATCAAATACTTAAAAAAAATCTTTTAAGTTATTTTTTTGTTCATTTTAGTTCTTCCAAATTTAGTCCTTGAATAGTTTTAAAATACTACACAAAAGGCAGGTTTTCCTTATATATATGCCTTGAGTAACGCGAAAAAGTATTCAATGTTGATAACATATATTCACATGACGGCTTCTGTAGTTGCCTATTTTCTGAGGACAGACGACAGACCAAAACAAAAACAATTCATGTTGACAAGTATATCTGTTGTTACTGTGTAATTGAAAGAAGAAGAAAAAACTATCATATATATATTCTAACCCAAATCTAAAGTTATCATATATAAACACAAACCATCATAATTTCTGGACATTTGTATTAATTCTTTGATTTTTTTTTATATCTGGTCTATGTTCCTGTCATTTTTGTCAACATTGAAACTTTTAACTCACATTTATGTTGATGATACAACAGTACATTCGTTCCGGTCGTCAATCGTCATGATGCAATTAGGAGACTCTTCTCGAAGACATGTCAAAGTCGTAAAAGTTTGGTTTCTCACTCCCGTATTGCATGCTTCTTCAATTCACCAAGTTAATATATATATTTGCAATTACAAACTACATATATATAGAGGAGTGTGTATCGAATAATCGAACCAACGATGGATGATGTAGTAACAACGGATTGTTATTTGCGTAGTTGACAATTCCGTGATCTTCTCGAAGTAAAAAAATTGGCTTTCAGACGCATATATGTCACCTATAAACCAGTAGTGGGTGAGAAGAGACGTGGAGCACATAAGGGAATGGTGAGTTGGTCACAGCAGACTGATCAAAGATTTGGTATTTGATGAAACTGCATTAATTTTCTTCCATATCTGAATTTTTAATATATAAGTTATAAAAAAAGAATTGATTAGTTTACGAGAATAGAACCATTTCTAAATTAAAAAATGAAAGGTACAAACCCTCTTTAGATATGTACATACACATTAACCAAGAAAATATGATATGGTGTAAAAATATATCAACTTAGGTTCTAGATGATAATCAATACGACCATTAGAATCAACGGATCATTTCAACATTTACTAGTAACTCATAAGTTATATGGTAATGGTATGGTGAAACGGCTCTTTGACCTTGATGAATCCGGATGGTGGAATTTCTAGTCTTTAATTTAAAGTATTTAAAATACACTGAAATTTTAACCCACCACACTAAAATAAATTACTTTTCTCTGACTAATGGTGTGAAAATGTCCAAAAAAAAATTCAGAAGTCCTGATGCGAATTGGTCGTACGCAGGAACGCAACGTGAAAATTGTTGTTTTCATATTTGATTGGTTTTCACTTTTTCTACTGGGAAACATATTTTCTGCTTCACCTTTTCGTGGTGCGTAGGTTGTTCTACTTTCCATTAATTTGGTGTGCATGACCCTGGGCGCCGGTTTATATTGGATATCAATTTTACTTTTGCAAAGTATAATAAAAACTAATATTCATTAGTATAATAAAAAAATGATGAAAATAGATTATAAAAGTAACCAAATTAAAATTGATTTATTCTTTGTGAGAAATTTTGTAACCACTATTAAAAAGTGATTGAATCTTTTAAAATTAAAGAAATAGACCATTATTTAGGTTTAAAGTGAAGGACTTATTAGCTTTTCAGAAAATAGACCATTATTAGGTGTAAATTGTGCTACAAGTTTTACTTCAAAATTTTGTAGTCATCATCAATATATATTATACATTTCATATTGTCTATTTATCATCATCTTTGAAATCTGATATATACCACTACCATAATATGACAAGAAATGCAGAGACAATGATTCAGATGAGAAAATATGTCTTCATCATTATTTCAAAAGTAAAATTTTGTGTACCATATCTTGAAACAAGATAAATCCCACTGTGATTTTTTAATTCACACTGAAAACAATAACAGATTTAGTAATGAAATAGGCTTTTATTATTCACACCTTCCCTCATTGTTCCCAGTTTATTAAAAAAAAAAAAAAAAAAAAAAAAAAAAACATGTTTCTAGGAGAGTCAAAGATGTCGACCGGAAGGAATTAAGAGGGCATGGGAAGTCTTGTGGACTAGTAATCTGACGCTTTGAAATATCCGTACAATATCATCTGTCTAATATAAATATTCATAGCTGCATGAGTTTCCCAACCAAGCTCAATAACTTATCTGATAATAAAGACAAAGTATATCATCAACCCTCTTTTTATCTCCTTCTTAAACAATAAAATAACACAAACACAAAGATGGTAACCTACCCATCAATCCGATGCATCTTCTTTGTGGCTCTCTTCAGTATTTTCACCTTTAATGTTTTGATTTCAAGTGCTGCTTCAAGTCATGGAGAAGTTGGTATAAGCTTTTAATTTCTCTCTATTCATTGATCTTCCAAATTATATATGATTTAACTATGGAAGTCTTTAATATTTTATTTTTCTATTGGGTGCATGAAGAGGATGAACACGAGTTTAACTACAAAGAGAACGATGAGAAGGGGCCAGAGAGGTGGGGAGAACTCAAACCGGAATGGGAAATGTGTGGAAAAGGAGAGATGCAATCTCCCATTGATCTTATGAACGAGAGAGTTAACATCGTTTCTCATCTTGGAAGGCTTAATCGAGACTATGAACCTTCCAATGCCACTCTTAAGAACAGAGGCCATGACATTATGGTATACATACATTATATATACATAAAATATTTTATTGTCACGCCGAAGTCATTAGCTATGTATTTCTACTATAAAAAAAAGCGTAACCCTTAATAAACCAATTATTTGTTGTCATAGATAAAATTTGAAGATGGAGCAGGAAATATTAAGATCAATGGCTTTGAATATGAACTCCAACAGCTTCACTGGCACTCTCCGTCAGAGCATACAATCAATGGAAGAAGGTAACAATTTCACTAAAATGTATAATTGAAAAAATATTGTATCAGACAAGAGAAGGTTATGTGATAGCTATAGCAGCACCATTTCAAAATTCAAACCATAATTTTATGAGTATGGTTTGAATATTTTTACAGGCACACACACACACACATATATATATATATATAGTAGAAGTTAAAGCAAAAGATAACTACTCCGGCTCATATGGGTTGCTTCGGTTGACAAAGACAAACTAATTCTTAAAAGTATTGTAATTTACAAACCAGGTTAGCACTTGAGCTGCATATGGTTCACGAAGGCAAGAATGGGAGAATGGCTGTTGTGACAGTGTTGTACAAGATTGGAAGAGCAGATACTTTTATCAGATCGGTACACAAATAATTAAAAATCTCAATAAGCTAAAAATTTTGATTGCATGCTCATAACTGTCGCCAATCTGATTAATATATTTTTTTAAAAAATATTTGAATTAATTATAGTTGGAGAATGAACTAGAGGGCATAGCTGAAATGGAAGAGGCAGAGAAAAATGTAGGGATGATAGATCCCACCAAAATCAAGATCGGAAGCAGGAAATATTACAGATACACCGGTTCACTTACCACTCCTCCTTGCACTCAGAACATTACTTGGACCGTCGTTAGAAAGGTATTTATTTATAATTTTATATATCCTCGTATCAATTTTGATCGTAGTTACCTAATTAATAGCAGATCCTCTAATACATAAATTTGCAGATTAGGACTGTGACAAGAAAACAAGTGAAGCTTCTCCGCGTGGCTGTGCATGATGTAAGTGATTATTTACTTACGGTCAATGGAATTCCATGAATCCAATTTATTCATTCTTCCCTTTTCATTATTATATTTTTTCCCAATTCCTTTAACTTTTCATTAATTATAATTAGTGCTTTAATTAAATGATAATTTATCAGGATTCAAATTCGAATGCGAGACCTGTTCAACCAACCAACAAGCGCACGGTGCACATGTACAGACCGAGAGTTTGATATGATGATGAAGATATTAAAAGTTTTATATAAACATCTTAAGTTATACCCTAGATTAAAATAATGGTTTCCCTAGTTTACTGTTCATTAATTATAAACTTTTTTGATGATTATATTAATTTTTCCTTTGCAAAAAAATAAAGGTTGACAAATATAATAATATATTAGCTTGTTTGTTTTGCTAGCATTTTTGTAGTCTATGTTGAAATTTTGCAAAAATAATTAGAACTAAATTTCTGATAAAAAAAAAATGAAGAAAGTATATAAACAACTCAGAATTTGTTTTTTTTTTTTTTCCTTAAGTAAAAATCAGGCCCATAAAAAGCCTTTAACGGGGACGTTAAAATGTGGCGGGTAGCCCTGGAAATATCCGTTAGTAGCAGCGAATAAGGAAATAAAGAAGAAGAAGAAGAAGAAGAAGATGCTTTCGTGTTCTCCTCTCACAGTTACTTCGTCTTCTTACCCATTCCGTTTCCTTCCCTCTGCTTCTGATCCTCCTTACGATTCTCTTCGAAACCACCCTTCTCTTTCTCTTCTCCACAATTGTAATACTCTTCAATCTCTACGCATAATCCACGCTCAGATGATCAAGACCGGTCTCCACAACACCAACTACGCTCTCAGCAAGCTTATCGAGTTTTGCGTTCTCTCTCCGCACTTTGACGGCCTTACTTATGCTATCTCTGTTTTCGAATCGATCCAAGAGCCGAATCTGTTGATTTGGAACACAATGTTTCGTGGGCACGCGCTGAGTTCGGACCCTGTTTCGGCGCTCTATTTGTATGTTTGTATGATTTCGCTTGGGCTTGTTCCTAATTCCTATACGTTTCCGTTTCTATTGAAATCTTGTGCAAAGTCGAGGGCTTTTAGGGAAGGACAACAGATCCATGGGCACGTTCTGAAGCTTGGGTGTGATTTAGATCTCTACGTACATACTTCTCTTATCGCTATGTACGTGAAAAACGGGAGATTAGAAGATGCACGTAAGGTGTTCGATCAAAGTTCTCACCGTGATGTGGTTTCTTACACAGCTTTAATCAAGGGTTATGCGTCTAACGGCTATATCGAAAGTGCACAGAAGATGTTCGACGAAATTCCAGTGAAAGACGTAGTGTCATGGAATGCATTGATTTCAGGATATGCGGAAACCGGTAATTATAAAGAAGCATTAGAATTGTTTAAAGAGATGATGCAGACGAATGTTAAGCCAGACGAGAGTACAATGGTCACTGTACTTTCTGCTTGTGGTCAGTCTGCTAGTATTGAATTGGGTCGTCAGGTGCATTCATGGATTGATGATCATGGGTTTGGTTCAAATCTCAAGATTGTTAATGCTCTCATTGATTTGTACATAAAATGTGGTGAAGTGGAGACAGCAAGTGGTTTGTTCGAAGGATTGTCGTACAAGGATGTAATCTCCTGGAACACCTTAATCGGTGGTTACACACATATGAATCTATACAAAGAAGCATTGTTGTTGTTTCAAGAAATGCTTAGATTAGGTGAAATTCCAAACGAAGTTACAATGCTAAGTATTCTTCCTGCTTGTGCACATCTTGGAGCCATTGATATTGGAAGATGGATTCATGTTTACATCGACAAGAGATTAAAGGGTGTTTCAAATCCTTCTTCTCTCCGGACAAGCCTGATTGACATGTATGCTAAATGTGGAGACATAGAGGCAGCACAACAAGTTTTCGACAGTATGCTAAATAGAAGCTTGTCGTCTTGGAACGCAATGATCTTTGGGTTTGCGATGCACGGGAGAGCCAATGCAGCATTTGATATTTTCTCGAGAATGGGAAAGAACGGGATTGAACCGGATGATATCACGTTTGTTGGTTTGTTGTCTGCTTGTAGCCATTCAGGTATGTTAGATCTTGGACGTCATATCTTCAGATCAATGACAGAAGTCTACAAAATAACCCCAAAATTAGAGCACTACGGGTGCATGATTGATCTTTTGGGTCATTCGGGTTTATTCAAAGAAGCGGAAGAAATGATAAACTCGATGGAGATGGATCCTGATGGAGTGATTTGGTGCTCCCTTCTCAAAGCTTGCAAGATGCATGGGAATGTCGAATTGGGCGAATCATTTGCACAAAACCTCATTAAGATTGAACCAAAAAACTCAGGTTCTTATGTACTTCTATCTAACATTTACGCGACAGCAGGCAGATGGAACGAAGTAGCAAAAATACGTGCGCTCCTCAATGATAAAGGTATGAAGAAAGTTCCTGGTTGCAGCTCTATCGAAATAGATTCTGTGGTCCATGAGTTCATCATTGGGGATAAACTCCATCCACGGAACAGAGAAATCTATGGAATGTTAGAAGAAATGGAGGTGTTACTGGAGGAAGCAGGGTTTGTTCCAGATACTTCTGAAGTGTTGCAGGAGATGGAAGAAGAATGGAAAGAAGGAGCGTTGAGGCATCACAGCGAGAAGCTGGCTATTGCATTTGGGTTGATCAGTACAAAGCCTGGAACTAAACTTACAATCGTGAAGAATCTAAGGGTGTGCAGAAATTGTCATGAGGCCACAAAACTTATATCAAAGATTTACAAAAGGGAGATTATTGCGAGAGACAGAACTCGGTTCCATCATTTCAGAGACGGCGTGTGTTCTTGCAATGACTACTGGTAGGCATCATTATTTTTTCAGAAGATCTCTTTACCAATGATGTTGGTCAAGAACTGTAATATAATTTTCTTACTGTAAAAAATTACAAGAATACTAGTCAAGCAAGTAAATTACATACAAGGCGTACATGATTCATTGATACAGGTATACATGTAATGAAAGAGCTTTTAAACAAAAATTGCTGGCGCTGAATCTTTCTATGGTCCATGCAAAGAATCATTAATCATCTAATATTACACAGAAATCTATCAAACTACATACTCTTCAAAACGTATGATCAATTGACACGTTTCAAAATCTAATAGTAACTTTTTTTTTAATTGTCATGCATTCCACAATCGAGTTATTTATAGTTATACTATGAACTGTGTATATAACCCAATTTCATAAAAGAGTCTCGAGAAGGTTTCAACTAATCAGATACATATGAACTGGTGAGTCACACAAAGATCTCCATCTCTTTTATATAATAAACTATTTTAATATAATTACTAAAAAAACAAAGAAACATAAAGAAAACAGAGAAACGTAAAATTTGTTATGTTGAATAAGAGATATAAAAGAGGAAACACTTGTTTTATCAGCATATCCTTGGAGTTGTTCCACAAGAAGTTAGTTCCATCAAATTCGAATCTTCGATCAATCTTTCTCCTCTAGACATATACAAGCTCGAGAAAATGAAGATATCATCAGTCGGACGCGTCTTTCTTCTTATCTTCATCTCTATTACACTTGTTTCGAGTTCACCAGATCAAGGAGAAGTTGGTAATAAGCTATGTTATTTGTTCTTAATCATTCCTTGAAGGTTTGTTATAGTTGGTTCTGACTTATTGGAACACATTTTTACTCGTATATATATAGAGGACGAAATGCAGTTTAACTACGAGAAGAAAGGAGACAAGGGACCAGAGAATTGGGGAAAACTAAAGCCAGAGTGGGGAATGTGTGGAAAAGGCAACATGCAGTCTCCGATTGATCTTACGGACAAAAGAGTCTTGGTTGATCATAAACTTGGATACCTTCGTAGCCAGTATTTACCTTCAAATGCCACCATTAAGAACAGAGGCCATGATATAATGGTATATACAGTATATAATCAACAATTACAGTTTCTTCAGTATGCTATATACATTTTTGGATCATAGTAAAACGTCTTTTTTTATTGGGTTAATGTGGCAGTTGAAATTTGAAGGAGGAAATGCTGGTTTAGGTATCACTATCAATGGTACTGAATATAAACTTCAACAGATTCATTGGCACTCCCCTTCCGAACACACTATCAATGGCAAAAGGTACCTCGACTCGTATTCTAGCATATGCGATTTAATAATGTGAAGATTGATATGTTAATGTTCAGAAAAAGGATGCTTAAGAGAAAGAAAAAAACAGACATAATCAAGAATTGACTAACTTCTTCAAGTTTTGAAGTTTGTTTGAGGTATGAGTAGCATGCATGCAAAGATTGAATCATTCACGTAACTGCAGGTTTGTTCTCGAGGAACACATGGTTCATCAGAGCAAAGATGGACGCAACGCTGTTGTCGCTTTCTTATACAAATTGGGAAGACCTGACTATTTTCTCCTTTCGGTATACATATTGCAATCCCAACCTTCCTACCTAGTCTTTTGATATTCAACCAAATTACTTAATTGATACTTTTGGTAAAAATAAATTAATCCTATATTAATTTTTAATTGATTAGTTGGAAAGTCACTTGATGAGGATAACTGATGCACATGAATCCGAGGAATCTGTCGGGATGATTCATCCTAGAACATTCGATTTTGAATCAAGACATTATTATCGATACCTCGGATCACTTACAACTCCACCGTGTTCTGAAAATGTTCTGTGGACGATTTCCAAAGAGGTAATTACAATTATCCATAGTGGTTAATGATGAATACTATAATATGCTTTAATTAGTTCATTTTCGGTTTATTTGTTTCTAATATATTTCCAAACTTTTCCAGATAAGGACTGTGACATTAAAACAACTGATCATGCTTCGTGTGACTGTGCACGATGTGAGTGTCTCTAATCTTTTAAAACTTCTAATGTTAAGCAAGAGAACGAACCTTCTATAGAAAATGTGACAATGTAAATATATATATTTTTGGATTCTTGCATGTGCGACCCATATGCATGTATTTTAATTTCTAAGAAGAAGTTTTAAGTCTGATACGTATTTTCTTTACTTTTGTATGTTGCAGCAATCTAATACGAATGCTAGACCGCTACAGCGTAATAATAATCGTCCGGTGAAATTTTACAAACCAACATGGCATATTTAACCGTCTGAACTCTGAAGTCTCGTAACAAAATATTCAAGTTTGGCTATACATACTTTGTGTAACTTGCTTTTTTTTTTAATTATATTTCATCCATTTGAATTAGTATATTTGATGGTAATGAATAAACAGCGCAATTATTTTTTCTCAATCAAATGATATTGTGTGTTTTGAAGAAGTAACTTTAAATCATGTTTTGAATACATGGAGAATTGAAGAGCTCAATTATGATATGATATATTTGATTTGCTGAAAAATAAAATCTGTGTTTAGGTAAAAGTATCTATAATGTTTTTATAACCTCGGAAAACATTTAGTTAATTTCACATTATATATTATATTTAAATTATACACAAAATAAAAAATAACCATAGAACAAACAAAAATTAAGAAATTAATTTTCGTGTTCTTTCTTCTTTGACTTTTCTCTCCTCGTTTATAAACCAAGGATTACAAAATCCATGGTTGCTTCCACCATACTCTTTTTTTTCAAATATAAACACCACTATCTCTTATGTTAAGATGTTTTAAAATTGTCTCCACAAACACAACAAACAGCTAGATTCTTCTCTTCGCCACCTCTTTCTTTCTATCATTCTCGCTCCTTTAAATTGTAGAAGATCTCTCTAGTTAATTATGTCATTGGACTTTAATCTCGTTTGCAATTTCTCGGTCGTAATATTTTTTTAATGTCTATAAGTTTCTTTTGTAATATGCTCCTTCTTCAAAATTACACGTGATAACAAAACAACTCTTTTTAACACGTTAATTTCTTATATTACACATAAATTATTAAGATTACATATATATATATATATATATATATATATATATTGTCATCAACGAACTAAAGAGAAGACTCAAATGAGCCAACTCGGTGGAAAATTGTTTACAAATTTGACAATATGCGGGATAGAACGGGCTTTATGAGCCAAAGAATCCGCATTTACATATAATTTCTTCTCAAAACATGATTTTTATGTTAAAAATGATTATTAATTCTTATATTATGTGTTATTTACTAATTACATGTGAATTCTTCCAAAAATACGATTTTTATGTTAAAAAGCACATTAGTTTTTATTTCTTAATTTTTTTATATTTTTATATTTCTTTTTCCAAATTACTTACTATGTTATTAATTTTTGTTGCGGGACATTTTAAATTTCCGCAGTTTTTGAAACCGTTATTTTCAAACAAATTATTGCGCGTGGCTATTTTTTTAATTCTTTTTTGGAAACCATAGTAATTTGGAAACCATAGTTATATATTATACTATTAATAAATGTATATACATTAAATAATAATACTAAATTAGTCTAAGAAAATGACAATGACTTAAAACATGGGCACAAGAGGCAGAGGAGTTACCCGTATGAAACGCTCAGTCGAGAAACGCCGGTGCGAGCAAAGTTTGGTCCGTACATAATTCTGCGAAACCCGATTCTCGTCGATTCGTTGTCTTCTTCAAACTCAATTTTCCGAACCCCGTACACCGTCCGCGAGATTGCATGGCCGGAAGAAGCGCTTCATCGACAACTTGTTGCTGGAATTCTTGATTTCCAGTTTTTCCCTCGCGTCTTTTTTCTACACTCTCGGAATCGGAGATTCCTAGAGGATACCACAAAGCTCGTTGAAGCGATAGATTCTGATAATTGTCTCTTTCGCGCAGGTACGTTTCTTCCCCTCTTTTAGGTAATTTTTTGGGTGGGATAATGGGATCGGTGAATTGAGGGTTTCGGGTCTGGAGATTACGGTTTAGGGTTGTTCAGAGATTCTTATACTTTGGGGGAAGGCTCTTGGCGTCTGTTAGATGTATAACATTGGTCTGGAATATTGCAAGTTTGATTTGAAAGTTTTGTCACCGGATTTGTAGACATTGATGAAGAAAGACGAAAAGAATAGTTCGGCGGGGAGAACCATTTACACTAGATCCTTAGCAGCTTCAACTTCTGCCTCAATGGAACCAGAAACCCCTGGTTTGAGGAGGTCATCCCGGGGAAAGCCAATAACTCCAGCTTCTGCTACTAGAAAGTCAGAGAGACTGGCTCCCGTACCTGCTTCGGTATCGAGAAAGTCTGCTCGAATTGAGAAGAAAAATACACCAAGTCCTCTGAATATTCAGCAGAGGAAGGATATGAAGGGAAACAATTTACAAGAGCCGACAAATGAAATCAAGAAACGGGAGCCTATAATGTCAGCCCGGACTTTTAGAGCTTTGTTTAGAAGGCTCAATAATAAATCCGAGGCGTTAGTTAATGCTTCAAATGATGAGGAACTAGTAGTTGTTGGTTGTTCTCGCCGCATACCTGCAAGCAATGATGATGCTGCTCAAGACGGTAACACCGATTGTCCACCACCTGTGAAGGACACAGAAAAGATGGTGCCTGATGATGCATCCCCGATGGTTGAAACAGGGGATGGAAACGCTATAGGTTCACCTCCAAAGAGTTCAGAAACACAAAAGCTTCTTCTCAGTAAAACTAGCTTAGATACGAACATAGGCTTGCCTTTGAAAAGAAAGAGGGACCCTGCAGGAGCTGAGCTGGATGCATGTGTCATTGTTGCAAATGGAGATGACTGCATTATGAGTCCTGATGTGGTGATTCCATCTCCATCTGGGTGCAAAAATGATGATCAACCTGAAATATTTCCATCTCCATCTGTGTGCAAAAATGATGATCAACCTGAAATATTTCCATCTCCATCTGTGTGCAAAAATGATGATCAACCTGAAACGTGCAACACTTGTGGAAAACAGAAAAAGTAAGAATTCTTGACTGTTGTTTGTCTATCAAAATGATCAGGCAATTGCTTTCTACCATAGACGAATGTTGAAAAGATGTGTCTGACGCTTCAGTTATTTTTTTTGAAGGGTCAACAGTGATTTTGAAAATCTGAGCGTTTGCTCCTGCATTGCCCAGCCAGTTGAAGAATCTGATCATGTGGCACAGGTTTGTTTCTGATTGTTTTCCTTTATACACCCATTTGACAGTGGTGTGCTAAATTGTTAAATTTACTTATCTTTTTACTTGTATATTGCAAATTCTGTTTGCATTGGATTAGGATTTGGAGGAAACTGATCCAGCTCCGAGCAGAGACTACGATGAGAACAGGCAAACGCAACACGCTAAATCAAGTGATCCCAAATTGTACTCGTCGATGTACCCAGAGTATTGGGTTCCGGTGCAGCTATCAGATGTACAGCTAGAGCAATACTGTCAGACTCTCTACTCCAAATCTTTATCTCTTTCTTCGCTGTCAAAGATTGATCTTGGAGCTCTCGAAGAAACTCTCAGTTCTGTAAGGAAAGTAAGTTAATTTGAGTTAACTAAAAGACTTATGTTTCATGTGCTTGCACTAACTACCCAGGTAACACTTGTCACTGGTTATAAGATAAAAGAAAGCAATGTTTCCAAAAAATATATTCTGTGTTTCATGGTCATAAGAAGTTGTCGCGTAGGTGTTATGCCTTTCTGTTTGATGTTTGGTAGGGTTTTGCTCTTTTTGTTTTCTGTTTTTTTGATACATATGAACTCGAAGTGCAGACTAGATAGTTTTGGGGTTGCTTAGATATGCAACTACTGTCGGTCAGCATCACATTTCCTCTGATTCTCTTTTTGCATGTGTGTGATATATTGAAACCTTCTTTGTTTATTTGCAAACTTGTGGACAGACCTGTGACCATCCATATGTTGTCGATGCATCTTTGAAACAATTGCTCACCAAGAATCTGGAGTTGCATGAAATCCTGGATGTAGAAATTCAAGCAAGCGGGAAACTTCACCTCCTTGATAAAATGCTTACCCATATAAAAACGAATGGTTTAAAAGCAGTTGTCTTCTACCAGGTGCATTTCTATTACTTACGAGTGTATATACTCTCTGTTTTTCATGGATACGTCACTTAGTGCATTCTCAATATAAATGCATTTACTTTTAACAATGAAATTCTGTCTTGTATTGAAATTTGCGTGGGGTGAAGTATGCTCTCTGTCATGTGATGATAAATTGTAAAGATAGCCTTCAGTAATTAGCTGGCAATTTAATATACGCTGAACTGAAATGTTTCTTCTCCTCTTCTTCTATTTGTTGTTATCATGTATGTTTGAAATACAGTTTCTCTTTGGTTCAACAGGCGACACAATGCCCTGAGGGGCTTCTGCTTGGTAATATTCTCGAAGATTTTGTGGCTCAAAAATTTGGTCAAAAAGGTTATGAGCATGGGATTTATTCCTCAAAGAAGAACGCTATAAACAATTTCAACAAGGAGAGCCAATGCTGTGTTCTGCTGCTGGAAACACGTGCCTGCAGTCAAGCCATGAAACTCTTGCGGGCTGAGGCATTTATTCTTTTTGGAAGCAGCTTGAATCCTTTGCATGATGTTAAGCACTTAGAGAAGATAAAAGTTGAGTCATGTTCTGAAAGAACTAAGATATTCCGGTTATACTCAGTATGTACTGTTGAAGAAAAAGCCCTAATTCTAGCTAGGCAAAATAAGTGGCTAAATAAGCGGCAAAATAAGGCTGTAGAGAACCTAAACCGTCCTCTCACGCATGCACTGCTCATGTGGGGGGCTTCATATCTATTTGATAAGCTGGATCATTTTCACAGCTGTGAAACCCCAGATTCAAGAGTTCCATTTGAACAATCTATTATGAACGGCGTGATTGATGAATTCTCGTCCCTACTTTCTTCCAAAGGTGGAGAAGAAGATGGAGGCAAGCTGTCTCTAGTTTGGGAAGCCAAGCATGATCAGGGTACTTACAGCAGTGATACTTCTCTATTTGGTGAAAAGCATATTAGTTTGCCAGATGAAGATAGCCCTAATTTATTTTGGACAAAGCTGTTGAGTGGAAAGAATCCTGTGTGGAAATACCCGTCAGATACCACCCAAAGGAATAGGAAAAGAGTTCAATATTTTGAGGGCTCTGGAGCGAGTCCAAAACTTGACGATGGCGGAAATGCAAAGAAGCGAAAGAAGGCTTCTGACAATTTCACTGATGTCCCAGTAATTAGTGATGAAAGAATGGCCTCGAGGAAGGATCAAATGGGTAAAATATTTCCATTTCTGCTCGTATACCTGAATTTTTACTACTTTGCTAACTATCTTTCCTACAGGGGCTTTGGAGTCACTAAAGGTCGTAGCACCTCATTCATCTGGTACTGATGGTATGGATGGAAATGAGGCTTTCGGCTTGTACTCTATGGGCTTTCATATCTCTGGAATTCCAGAGGATATGTTATTTAGGCAGGATTGGAGAAAAATACAGAGTGAATCACAGAGTAGGCTCCATGCTGTTTTAAAGTTGGAAATGGCAAAACTTTGCCAAGTTTTACATCTTTCAGTAAGTGGCTTTATCCACCTCGATAGCTTATTTTAGCTTTAGCATATGCATATACTGTGGACTGTAACTGAAATATGTATCTGATTTCATGTTTCAGCCAAACGTGATAGTCTTAATGTTCAACTATATTCCATCTGTCAATGCCTATTTATTTCTCATATCTGCTGTTGTTACCAATGTCCTGCTAAGAATTATGCAAACAATGGACCTAAGGTTGCTTTCCTCATGTCGTCCATTGTTTTGTTGAAGCAAAGAAAAAAAACTTTTTCTACGTTGCATGATCCATTCGTGGGAGGTATTGATAAATATAACCTTAGCTCTCTATACCTGGCTGATCAAAGGAATGCCAAATTCTTATCTATTTGCTATTGGTATAGAAACTGATACATTGACTTATGCTATTAATTTATTTGTGTATATTGTACCTACTATTGTGGGAAGTTTTAATATAGGTTTCCGCTGCTGTGTCCATATACTTCTGTGATTATTTCAGTGCGACATCTATCAATATTGTACAAAAAGGTATCTTGCCATGTGTAGCTTGTTAACATATTAATCTGTTTTCAGGAAGCTTGCACAAGCATGGTTGAAAAATTTCTGGAATATGTTATTGAAAACCACCGAATCTACAAAGAGCCAGCTACCAGATTGCAGGCATTTCAGTTAGCCCTGGTATGGCAGCATATACTTATAGTTTATGCATTGTTTCCTTCATCATCTGCCTCTATTTTAAATTTCCTCATTCTGTGGCAACACTTGTTGTAGATATGCATTACAAGTTTTAAACTTCTAATCACAGGATAAATTTTATCATTAATTGTGCAAGCTGCTAATGTCTGATAAAATATATGCTCTTATAGACCTCAAAGTAAGGCCTTTGATCGCCGACCTAATCGATTAATTGGTCACATACTGAATACATAGTTAAATTTGTATTTTCAGAGTTGGATTGCAGCTTTGTTGGTAAAGCAAAATCTTAGTCACAAAGAATCTCTGGTCCGTGCAAAATCTGAATTAGCTTTCAATTGCTCTAGAGTAGAGGTAAATTATATATACTCGATATTGTCATGCATGAAGAGTCTGTTCCTGGAGCGCACAGATGGTTTGCAGTTTGATTGCTTTGGTACTACTTCTAGTCAGTCAATGGTTGGTACGAAACAAGTGAATGAAAGCCTCTCAGGGGCAACAGTGCGTCAGGGAAAGAATACTACAAAGTCGATGGATAGCTCAGAGGATGAAGAATGCATGACTGAGAAGAGATGTAGTCATTATAGCACTGCAACAAAAGATATCGAAGAGACTATTAGAGATGTTAAAAAGAAATGCAAGAAGCAACTGCAAAAACTTGGACAAGAGCACAAGGAAAAAAAGGTGCAGCTGTTAAATATGCATGCAGACAAGAAAAAGAAACTTGAAACTAGAAAAAATTTGGAAGCAGCAGTAATTCGTATTACCTGTTCACGGACAAGTACCCAAGTGGATGATCTCAAACGGCTGGAACATGACTTTGAAAGAAAGATTGATAAAATCAATAGCGAGAAAAGTGAATGCCTTCAAAGTCTGGAGAAAATGCACGAGGCTGCAAAGAAGAAGTTGGCTCAGGATGAAGCCTGTTGGATTAGTCGGATAACAAACTGGGCACAAGCTGAATTGAAAATTTGTGTTCCCATTAAAAGTGGCAGCAAGCATTTTAGTGGAATATGCTCATCAAACACTTCCCAAAATGCTCATGATGGACAAACTTGTAATGATGCCAATGTTGAAGCTACTTATGCGGATACAAATTGCATGGCTTCGAAGGCAAATCAAGTACCGGAGGCAGAAAACACATTAGGAGGAACCATGTCGGGTGGCACAAATCAAAAGGGTCATGAAATGATGGGTTTAAGAAATGACAAGGCGATGGATGTCTCAACCTTGTCTCGTGAACAGCATACAGACAATGTGGCTTCAAAGAGCCAGACCAGTGAGAACGCGTCTATCACTGTGCCTGAGATATTGATTCCTGCTGGCTGTCAAGAGGAATTTGCGGCCTTGAACGTCCATTTTTCAGAATACCAGAACTGTGACAGAATAACATCAGCAGCACCAGATGAAGATGTTTCGTCAAGGGTGCCAGAGATATCCCAGTCACTAGCAAATCTTGCAAAATCTCCCTCTCCCGAGGTTTCCTTGAATAGAGAGGAGGCTTTGGTTACAACAGAAAATAATAGAACAAATCATGTGGGTTCTGATGCTGATAACATTTTGGACCAGCAGAATAGGGAAACTTGCTCTCTTGACAAGGAAATTCCTGAAGAGGTAGTAATGCCTATGCCACACCCAGCACCTTTGGTAGAGACTAGGGGTGCTACTGAATCTGATCAGGTACTTACTGGTCCTGTAAAATACTTGATTCGTTGTTCATTTAATCTCTTTGATGCATATTCTTATTTTCCTGCCAAATCAGGTACTGGTCAGATGCCTTTCTGTCTTATTGAATTGCCGTTTTGTCTTGTTAAATTCACTTTTCTGGACAGGATGATCAAGATGTATATCCTATGCCTTCTTCACCGGCTAGAAAGCAACTTGACCCAGCATCAAACACTCAGGGCCAAAATATTGAAGAAGCAATTGAGCTCCAGTCTGCTGAACCAGAAACTGTAGAGACTACTGATTTTGCTGCATCCAGTCAGGTCCTTACTGTGTTGTGTTCATTCTGAGTTTCCCGTGTGAAAAAAGACCAGGGAAATGTGGTTACTGATTAGGTCGCATTTTTGTTTAAAAATTGACTCTATTGACAGGGTGATCAAGTTACATGTCCTTTGCCATCTTCACCAGCTGGAATTCAGCCTGTGCCAGAAGCAAACATTGAGGGCGAAAATATCAACACATCATCAGCTGAGCCCCACATAGCTGGTCCAGATGCAGTAGAGAGTGGTGATTGTGCAATATCAGATCAGGTACTTATTGCGTTAACTAAAGATAATCGCTTTTGCTATGATAGAGTCTTACATCTTTGTAATGCTTGTTCTAAATTTCCTGCAGGAAACAATGGGTGCTCAGGATGCATGCTCTCTGCCATCTACATTGGTTGGAACTCAGTCTGACCTAGGAGTTAACATTGAGGGCCAAAATATCACAACAGTGGCTCAGCTTCCCACAGGTGGATTAGATGCAGTAGAAACTGGTGGATCTCCTGTATCAGATCAGGTATCGACCTCTGCTTGAAGACTCTCCTTTGTAATGTTCGTTGTCAATTTACTGTAAGAAACGGAGCAGACAGTGGGTAATAATCAGGTGTTAATTTGGCTTGTGAACTTGATTTTTCTGGATAGGGTGCTCTGGATGCATCTCCTATGCCATTCTCTTCGCCTGGAAATCATCCTGCCGCAGAAGTTAACATTGACGGCCTACATAACACAACATTAGCTGAGCATCACACAACAGTGGCTGAGCCTTGCACTAATGGATCAGATGCATGTGAAATGGAAATAGCAGAAGCTGGTCCCCAAGTAGTGCGGTCAACCTTTGCAAGTCAGTTATTTACTGCCGTGTTCATCTAAATATCACCTCGATTAACGTTGGTGTTTGCGAAACTGCTAATAGTGTGATGCCTTTTTGCAGATGTTGTCCATGAAGGTGGTGTGGAGCCTTCAGCAGGTGTAACAGCTACTGTTCCATCACTTCTTAGCAATAATATTGGACAGAGTACCGCTCAACCTGTTCCTCAAATACCATTCCCTGTGTTCAACGACCCATTTCTGCATGAATTGGAGAAGCTGCGGAGAGAATCAGAAAACTCAAAGAAGACTTATGAAGAAAAGGTAAAATGTCCGCAATATTACCTCAGTTTTGGTTCCTTTTTTCTCACTGTTCATTGACCCTTAGTTGCCTGTGAGCAGAAATCAGTCTTGAAATCTGAACTCGAGAGGAAGATTGCTGAAGTACGAGCAGAGTTTCAAAGAAGATTCCAGGAGGTAGAAGCTGAGCATAACACCAAAACGACAGAGATAGAGATGAATAAAAATCTTGTTATAATGAACAAACTGTTGGCGAATGCGTTCTTGTCCAAATGTACCGAGAAGAAGACATCTCCTTCAGCAGCTCCAAGGGGTAAGTTTTCGAACAATAGAGGAAAATGGTTTTAAACACTAGGAGATGAAGTCATAGTAGCATTTGTTCTGCAGGTCGAATTCAGCAACTAGCACAGAGAGCAACTAGTACATTTCCTCTGTCTCCGGCTCCTGCTGCTGCTCCTCTGCAGCTTCAGGCATCGTCATACCCTGCTCCTGCTCAGTATCCTCTGCAGCCTCAGGCATCTTTGTTTCCTTCTTCAGTCTCTCGTCTATCAGGCCATCCTCTGAATTCCGCGGTCTGCCTAATGCCTCAGCCAAGACAGCCTCTGATATCAAACACAACTCCAACTCTATCAGCTTCTCCTGCAACTAATCAAGTTTCCAATGCAATTCTACGCTCACCTGCACCACACCTCAACTCATATAGACTATCCTCTTCAACTCCTGGCTCTACAGCTGCTCTAACCTCATTGCAGCCGCCGCCTCCTCAAGATTTAACATATTCATGTGTTTTAAATCAGCAGCAGCAAGAACAACAGGGCTTGAGCAGTGGATTGCTGGGCAACGAGAATGTGGTTTGTCTTTCGGACGATGAGTGATGATCTAATCGGAGAGATGTTTAGGGTCTAGTTGTTGATTTAGAGAGAAGTTCAAAATATGTCTGTATAGAAATAGGTTACCTAAAAATATTGAAGTATGTATGTTTTGGATGCGACTTTTGTAGTTGAGATTAATCAAATTCAGTGAGTCAATAACCGACTCGGTTCGGTACAGTTTTGGTGAAATGTAACGTTATACGTTTCATGAATTACAATGTTGGATTACAACACAAAGTGATGGTCAGAAAAAAAGCCAAACCTAATATCAAAATAAATAAAAAAGAAAAGGTAGCAATTATAGAAAAAAAAAAAAAAAAAAAAGAGAGTCCCAAGTCTTTTATTTTTTTGTCTTTCCCACAGTTGCGTCCAAGAGAAAAAGGTTTTTTTTTGGACAAAAGAGAAAAAGGTTTATATAAAAAAGTCGTGTAAAGAAAATACTAAAAAGGGATTTGAATTGAACAATTCGCTTCCGTCCTCTATATGGTAACCGCTTCTTCTTCTGCTTCTTCTTCTGCTTCTTCTTCTTCTTCTGCTTCTTCTTCTTTATACTCTGATCAGATATTTTCCTTCTTCTTATCCACTAAAATTAGAACTCTGAAAGCAAAACAATGGAGAGCCCAAATGAATTGCGAGAAGCGAAACCGGATCTGGCCTCGAACGACTGTCTCAATCCTTCTTCTCCTTCTTCCAGCGATGCCTCAAGATCATCCGTTGACTCCACTCGTCCCGATTCTTCACGCCATCGGTCTAATCCTTCCTCTTCTGGCTTCCGCTTCTCTAAGGTTCTCTCTCTCTCTGACTCCTCTCTAATATCTGTATGATCCTAAGATCCAACCTTTTCTTATGTGGGTGATGCAAAATTGATGATAATATTTCATCATCTAATGGGTTTAAGTAACTAGTGTTGGTCCATCGATCCTCTCGTTCTGTCTTTACCGATTAGGGTTTGGTTTGAGTAACTATGGCCGAATGGGTTTTTAGGTCTAAGAATCAAAGATTGTTTTCTTTGAAAATTGCAGAGCAGGTGCGCTATCTGCTTGTATGAGATCAGAAAGGAAGACGGGAAGGCTATATTTACTGCAGAGTGTTCTCACTCCTTCCATTTCGATTGTATTACCTCCAACGTCAAACACGGAAACAGGATTTGCCCTTTATGCAGAACCCAGTGGAAACAGGTCCCCTTGTGTGATGTTGACTCTGTCCCTGCCTTTCTTGCTCAAAGGGGTTTTGAAGATGATGAGCCTTTACCTCAAGTAGAGACCCAATCCCAGAGTGATACTTATCCTTCCGACCATCAAGCCCTCGAGATTAAACTGTTCCCTGAAGTGTCCGCTCTGGCTAAACCGGTTACTCGTAGTGATTTTGCTGTTCTTGTTCATCTTAAGGCGGAGGGTGTGAGTGATGATGCTAGGCGCGCTCGAGCTCCTTTGGATCTCATTACCGTACTTGATGTAAGTGGGAGCATGGAAGGAGTCAAAATGGAGCTCATGAAAAACGCTATGGGTTTTGTGATTCAGAATCTTGGTGAGACCGATAGGCTCTCTGTCATTTCCTTCTCCTCCACGGCTCGTCGACTATTCCCTCTTAGACTGATGTCTGAGACAGGGAAGCAAGCGGCGATGCAGGCTGTTAACTCCTTGGTTTCTGGCGGCGGGACAAACATTGCTGAGGGGCTGAAGATTGGTGCAAGAGTGATTGAGGATAGGCGGTGGAAGAACCCTGTTTCCGGGATGATGCTTTTGTCCGATGGACAGGACAACTTTACCCTTTCTCCTGCTAAGGTTCGTCTGAGAGCAGATTACGAGTCTATGCTTCCGAGTTCTTGCCGGATTCCAGTTCATACCTTCGGGTTTGGCTCAGATCACGATGCTGAGCTTATGCATACAATCTCAGAAGTCTCTAGCGGCACGTTTTCGTTCATCGAAGCAGAGACTGTGATTCAGGATGCTTTTGCGCAGTGTATTGGAGGGCTTCTCAGCGTTGTGATACTTGAACAAGTTGTTGAAATCGAATGTGTTGATGAGAAGGGCCTAAAGATATCATCCATAAAAGCAGGACGCTACCGAAGCCGTGTGTCATCTGATGGGAGAAGCGCCAAAATCAATGTCGGAGACATGTACGCAGAAGAACAAAGGGACTTCATGGTGATTCTTGGAATCCCGTGCTGCGACAATGGGTCTGCTGAATCTGAATCTCTGAAGTTGCTGAAGGTTAGTTGCGTCTACAAAGATCCAATTACGAAAGAGATAGTCCGTGTAGAATCCGGAGAACTAAGCATCCAAAGGCCAATGGAGCTAACAGGAGAAGAAGTGGTGTCCATAGAGGTTGACAGGGAACTAAACAGGTTCCTTGTTACAGAAGCTATGTCAGAGGCTAGAGTTATAGCCGATGGGGGTGACCTGAGCGCGGCGCTGGAGATTCTTAAAAAGCGAGGGATAGAATTATCCAAGACACTGTCTGCTCGGTCTGGTGATACGCTTTGTGAATCACTGTTGGCGGAGCTAAGTACAATGCAAGAAAAGATGGCGAACGAGAAGATGTACCAAGGATCAGGGCGAGCTTACATGTACTCGACCATGTCTTCTCTTTCGGCTCAAAGAGAAACAGCTTGTGGGATGGGTTTTGGTAGTCTTCTTAGAGGGGCGGCGACCAGGGGGCGTGGTTATCAGACGTCTGAAATGGCTCGGATGGTGAGCAAGTCTCAGAAGTCTCACAAGGATCAAAAGCCCTAAACCCGTCCTCCTCTGATGTGATTGTTTTGGTTTGTACAACCTTTTAAGTATTCTTATCATATTTCTTCCAAGACGAATTGGATTTGTAAACTCTTAATATAAACAAGCTTTTTTTTTTTTTAACACCTTCAAACTTTATTAAGAATTAACTGAATCGTATAAACAAGCTTATAAAAACAAAATAAACTCTAAAACATGTACCCCGATCAGTTTATAATAATAACCAAAAACATTCGCTAAGAAGCCGTATTAAATTATGATTAACTGTAAAACTAACACCAAAAAAAAGAAAGGAAGCCACGTATGCACCAAGATTTTTAGGTGAAGCTTTTGATAAAAAACTAAAAAGGCGTGAGGGCTCTTTTTCTTTCTTTCTTCTTGGGTTCCTTTTGTTTTTAATTTCACCTGAGAATAACAAAAACAATCAATCGGGTTCGTCTTCTTCTTCTTCTTCTTTTTCTCAGTAGTGTGCTTCTTCTTCACTAAACTGAATCTCTCACAAGGGAATCAGGGAAGCGACTCAAAACCCCTAATCTATCAGAGTTTGATTACCTGCCTAATCTCCGTAAGTACCATCGCTTTCATTGATATTTTTGGTTTATTTCGTTCGCGACTATTTTATCTCTTTGGTTCGTGATTTCGATATTGTCTGTATGTTTAGATTTTGATTTGGTATTTGTGTAAAGTAATTTTGAATCTGTTGTCAGGAAATCATACATCTCCATTATTACACCGACATTTGTTTTTTCTTCAGAAATTTATAGCCGGTCGGTTTCAACTATTGAAATATATACATACATCACTGCAGAATTGTGGTTGAGCTTGTGTTATGTCGTAGACCATTGTGAAAAATGGTGAATTATTAGCTATTTGTATATTTAATATGATATTTTAACTTGGGAAATTGGACGGTTACGCTTTCCTAAATCAATCAGGTCAATGCATTTAAATTCTTAATTTCTTTCCTCTTTAATTCTCTCTGTCTATCTAACTCCCACATGATGGTTTAGTTAGTCATCAAAAAGAAGAACATTTCGTCGGTTGTTGCAGAGCTTCTTGTGTCCTTCTAGTCTTCTTTTAGGACTCTGTTTTTTTAATATATTTGTTTCCTTTGCAGTATATTTGGAGATTTTGCTATTCCGATGGGGACAATGCACCGGAGGTATATTTCTTCGCGGCTTTTCATGTTACAAACAAGTTTTTTTTTGTTTTGTCTGTTGGAATATTACTTATAAACCGTTGAATCTTTTTGCAGCGGTGCTCCTAGAAGAAATGAAAATGCAAAGGTTATTATTACGACAATTGTGGGGATGGTGTTTGGTTTTTTTATTGGTGTCACATTACCATCAGATTCCTTTACAAAGGTATATATTGTGTAGGATCAAATAATATGTATATCTTCCTTTTTGTGTCTCTTCTCAACCGGTTGATCTATTTTTTTTTTTGGTATTCTGCAGATTAACTTACCCTCAGGCCTTATGTCATCTCTTGATGTAGCCATGTCAGATGGGAAATTGTTTTCTGGTGGCAGATCACCTGAAGATTTTGGTTCTAGGCAGTTTCCTAAGGTATGTCTTCCCTGAACCATCTATGTGCTGAGACTAAAACATACTAAATTGATTGAAGGTATAAGTGATACATAAGACATTGCACTTCTTTTTGTTTTGCATGTTATTCAAGGGTATCATTTCTGTTTCTATGTTTCCAGATATATGTTCCAACCAATCCGCAAGGTGCAGAACTACTTCCTCCAGGAATTATTGTAGCAGAAACCGATTTTTACTTGCGTAGATTATGGGGTGAACCTAGTGAAGTAAGTTCCACAACATGTATAAATGCCATAGTCTAACAATATGGTGACTGGAGATGTATAAGAAAACGTATTAACCTCTACAGGATTTGAAGAAGAAACCAAAGTATCTCGTTACTTTTACAGTTGGGTTTGAGCAGAGGAACAATATTAATGCAGCTATTAAGAAGGTTTTTTTAATAGCCCAGTTTCCCTCTCATGTTGTAAGTATTATGCGATTTCTTGTTTAGATGGACACTAAGATTTGTGTTTTCATCCTCATTCCTTCAGTTTTCTGAAGATTTCCAAATCCTGCTGTTTCATTATGATGGCCGGACAACTGAATGGGACCAGTTTGAGTGGTCAAAAAACGTGATACATATCAGTGCTAGAAAGCAAACAAAATGGTAAGAAATTCGATGGAGGTCAGCACTATATACTCCATTCTTCAAGCAGTCATGAAAAGTTTGTTTGATAAAACCCTCAGCTAGTTTCTTTTTATCTTTTGGCAGGTGGTATGCAAAGAGATTTTTGCATCCTGATGTTGTTTCAGCTTATGAGTATATATTTATATGGGATGAAGACCTTGGAGTCGAGCACTTCAATGCAGATAGGTGAATACCTCTCTGAAGTTGTAGCTACAGATCAATGACAATCCTTACATTTTATCTTGTTAACTTTCAGGTACATTGATTTAGTTAAGAAGCATGGTTTGGAGATTTCTCAACCAGGCCTAGAGCCAAACAACGGACTTACATGGGAAATGACAAAGAGGAGAGGTGACCGAGATGTCCACAAGTAGGAGCTGTCTCTTTCTCTCGCTCTTTTACCTTTCCTTTGCATTCAAATCTGTCTCTAATATTTTTGAGTGGTGAACAGAGAAACTAAAGAAAAACCAGGATGGTGCAGTGATCCACATTTACCTCCATGTGCTGCGTAAGGCTCTGTACACTCTTTCTCTCTCTTTGCCTAGCCTACTATAGAGTGCTTATATCAATTTCACAGGTGTATTTCCCCACTTGCAGGTTTGTTGAGATTATGGCTCCTGTATTTTCTAGAGAAGCATGGAGATGTGTATGGCATATGATTCAGGTTTCTTTTTAACTATAAGATCTTTGGTCACCCTTTTGACTATGAGACATCATATTCACATGACTAGAAAATGTGGCATTTATGAATCTACTTTTGTTTCTGATTAAGTTATCAAAGGAACCTGTCTAGACTTCAAGACCATCAGTTGGTGACTTTAAAAATATATTCTTTGTTTCTGGTGCAGAATGATCTTGTTCATGGATGGGGTCTGGATTTTGCTCTCAGACGATGCGTTGAGGTTATTTACTACCCTCTCTGCTTCCTGTGTTTTTCCTTTGGGGGCTTTGTTTATTTCATGAGCTCTCCTTGTTAAGTCTCCATCTGTATGTGTTGTCTTCCATTTTCAGCCTGCTCATGAGAAGATAGGTGTGGTAGATTCACAATGGATTATCCATCAAGTGATTCCTTCCCTTGGAAGTCAGGTGAATTTACTTTTTACCACTGAGCAGTGAAGAAATTCTGCTCTTATACCTCTGATTCTGAATGATCTCTTGATTCAATAATGAAATGTGACAGGGTGAGTCGTCAGAAAAGGGAAAATCTCCATGGCAAGGGGTAAATAGTTAACTCACATTTATTACTCTTACTAGTAGAAACCTGCATCTCTGCCCCCTAAACAACCTCAGTGTGTGCGTGTTTTCCCGGTTTCAGGTGAGAGAGAGATGCAGAAACGAATGGACGATGTTCCAGGACCGTGTAGCAGAAGCAGATAAAGCGTATATGGAACAACACAAAGTAAAAGAATAAATGGGACCTCTACTTGCTCAGTTGCTCTGTCTCTGTAAATGAAGCTTTCGTTTCCATGACAAGTGAGTGTGAGGAGAGAGTTCTCTTAGTTTAAAACATCTAAGATATAGATATAGCTTTTATAATATGTTCTTATTCCCTGATCATGCAACTAGTGATGATATTTTCTTGGTTAGATGCAAAGTATCCCTCGAGAACATTTCCAGATATGATCACAATACACATGAACACAAATACAACACCAACTCCCCAACACAAGAATACTACAACACAAGAATAAAGCTAATCCAATATGTTAAAAAGAATCGGTCAAGGAAGCAATGTCATGTCAAAAGAGTTTTCTTTGGAATCCTGGGTCGATGTTTCTGGATAACTTGGTAAGCTTCATGGGAGCTCCAGGGCAAGGCGCAGAGAGAGGCGTGTGAGAACCAGAACCAGATTCCTCTATTTGAAGAGAGAGAACAATACTAAAGAGGTTTTGATACAAAGACTCAATGATTTCTTCATCGGAACAAGTAGTAAGAGAATCGATCCTCATCTGATCATTGTAGTGGTCGCATAGTGGAGATACTGCAATTATACCACCGTCTCCAGAACAGATAGGAGTTAGGGGTTCCGCAGAAGTTGGTGTTCCTTGGATGGAGCTTTTTTCTGCAGAGTCCATGGTTTTACAATAACTGGGCAAAACAGTAAAAAAGCATACATAACAATCAGACAAAAACCTCGTAAACACATTGCAAGAATTGAATAAACAATATTGAAATGACGCATATCGTTTATGCCATAAATGAGAGAAAATCTGATCAGAAAGATTAGAGAGACTGTATGACAAATTAGATGATACGAAATCAATTGAAGTTTGTGGCCCTTTTTTCACTTTCTCAGTGAGGATACTTCAGAAACAAAAGATTCCAAGAAGAAGAAAATCCACCATACCTTTGACTCGTGAGGTCTGTAATTTTCTTGTTTATCTTTTCTTATTTATTTCTTTGCGCCTTTTTTAGGGATTTTATTTTTTGTAATCTTGAGAAAATATGTAAAGTGGAGAAATAATTAGGTAAACCAGATTTGGGCCCAATTAACCTTTTTAAAGAACATATAAGATTAACACAAAAAGGTTCAAATCTAAAATATGGTTTACTACTACAATCCTTCTACAAATTGTTTTTCCAATCTTTGACCAAATCACCAGCAGATTTGATTGTTTTTTGGTGTGACATGAAATTATGTGTGTTTTAACTCATGTGACTTTTTTAATAAAAAAATATATAAATAATTACCAATATATAAAAAAGTCTAACATAATAGGTAATGCAATATAGGGAGGTGATATCTATCTCTATAGGAAATTTTGAAATACAGATTTGTTGATATTTTTAGTATAGAGACAGACAAATAAACATGGCAACAAATTTCATTAAAATTGATGTTATTATTGATAGATTAAAAAAAACATATGAACCCACAACATTTTTCCTAGACTTGAAGCAAATAAAGAGTCTAATAGACTTTAGGCTACATAACATTTTATTTTATTTGTTAGGGGTACATAACATTAAGCATAAAGTATGTCCAGTGTCAGAGGTTGAACGGGGAAACAAACTTTAAAGCCCACAAAAATCTGTGAACAATTGATTGGATTGAAGCAATTACGTTTTATACATTTCGCATAATTTAAGTCTAAACAAAAGATTATGAAAGTTACCATTTTCAAAGATGAATTTAATTGAATACTTTGATTGTAACTGTAACAATATTAAAGGATTATTAACACAAGATAGTAGTAATCTTATCTTTGACCATTCTTTTTTAAAAAAAAAGACACAGCAGAAGCAGTGGTCAAACCCTATTCGTATCGAAAAGGAAAGTGCATTCACAGGGTCTGTCGATTGATTCCGGAATTCGGAAGAAATAAATATCTAAATGGTTTTGGCTCAATCAATGTTCGCACTAGTGTAGTGTCTTGCTCGCTCAGCTCAGTGCGTTTTTTTTATATATATAGTTTTTTTTTTTGTTTTTGTTGATGTGGGTGGCGAGAAAGCAAGAGAAAATCTCGTGAGCCTGTTGTCTCGGGGGAGCGCACAGAATCTCTCCTTGTTCCTCCTCCATCGATGAAGTGAAATGAAAAAACACGAAGTTTCCTTGTTTTCGTAGGGCCTAGTAGATAGCGAGGTTTGCCCCCAAAACGCAGCGATCGAGGGGAATTTATGAGCACGAGATCTCGATTCCCCAATACACGTAGGCCTCTGCTCCTCTCTCCCCTTGTTCCTTTGTTCCTTTCATTATTCAATTCCTTCGATTTTCTGGGTCCCCTTTTGCCTTGTTTCCTCTGTCTCCTCCTCCACTTTCCTCTCTTTTGTTTTTATACAACTTACAACCGTAACGTTTCGTCCTCAGGGATTGTGTTTCTGGGTTTTGCTTCTTTTGAATAAAGATTGATCCTTTTCATTGTTTTGGTTATCATCAGTATGCTTTGGAATCGAGGCACTTTGAATATGAATTCTATTTTTTGGAAGCTGGCTCTGGGGTTATTCTTTTTTGGCTCAGGTATGTTTGAAGGGTTCTATGGAGATTATGATTGATACAAATCCTGGACTTTGTTTCTGATGTTTGGTTTTTTTTTTTTGAACTGGTGAACTAGTTATTGGCTCGTTTGCGGAACTTGATTTTGGTTATTGCGAAAGAGTTGTGAACAAGTGGGCTGATTCTTCTTCGTCTCGTGAAGAACATGTTAACAAAGACAAACGTTCGCTTCAGGATTTGCTCTTCTTTCTCCATGTTCCTCGAACTGGAGGCAGGACATATTTTCATTGGTGATTTGATTTCCCTTTACCATAACTTTTGAATGAATTGAAAGGTTCTCTTTTTGATCGGCGTGGTTAATGTTGTGCTGTGCTTTTTGTAGTTTCTTAAGGAAATTGTATGATAGCTCTGAGGAATGTCCTAGATCTTACGACAAGCTCCACTTCAATCCAAGGTAATCAATCTTCTTCTCGCTGCTTCTTATGTCTTCATTTGATGTTAAAGACCCTGCCCTGTGAAAACAAAAAGATGACTAATAATATAACCTTACTCAATGCTGTATGTACATTCTATGGCTTGATAAGTTGACTTTTAGATAGCTTAGCCAGACATGAGATCAATAGATGATTCCTTACCCGGGTTATATTACTTTGCTTAAATCATATTAGAATCACAAGACTTCGCTTTTCCCTAGCCTCCCTAAGCTAAGGAAGAATAAAAGGACAAAGTATTATGCATGTGGTATTTACCCTCTGACAGTTAAAGATCATTTTGACTCGTAAATTTATAGGAAGGAAAAGTGCAAGTTGTTGGCAACACATGATGATTATAGTTTGATGGCAAAGCTTCCGAGGGAGAGGACTTCGGTGATGACAATAGTTCGGGATCCTGTTGCACGTGTGTTAAGCACTTACGAATTTTCAGTAGAGGTAGCAGCTAGATTTTTGGTGCATCCCAATATAAGTTCTGCAATGAAGATGTCTAACCGCATACGCAAGAGTAATGTAATTAGCACACTAGACATTTGGCCATGGAAATACCTAGTTCCATGGATGAGAGAAGACTTGTTTGCTCGGGTATGTCGACCAATCCCATTTTCGTCTTCTTTTTTTTTTTTGCATAAATGTACAGCTTTTTAGCTAGAACATGATAAGAACACAGAAAACTATTGACTGACGCTTGTTTACTCATGCTTGGCCTTTCTTAGCGAGATGCACGAAAAGTTAAGGGCGTAGTCATCATTGAGGATGATAACCCATATGACATGGAAGAGATGCTTATGCCTTTGCGCAAATATCTCGATGCGCCTATTGCTCATGACATCATCCACAATGGAGCGACATTTCAGGTACTTTTTCATGTTGTTTGTTTTGCTTTTGTAAGTTATTGATTAGATATCTCCAGAGCATTTTCATTTCACTTCACAGATTGCAGGATTGACAAATAACTCCCATTTATCAGAAGCCCACGAGGTTCGGCATTGTGTGCAGAAGTTCAAAAGCCTTGGTGAGCCTGTTCTCCAAGTTGCCAAGGTAGTAACACTTGTTCTTCATCATAATTCACCACATCGTGGTATTATTCTCTTAAAGTCAGCAGATTCTGTAAGCTTGTTTTTATGTTGCAGAGGAGGCTGGACAGCATGTTGTATGTTGGACTGACAGAGGAGCACAGGGAATCTGCATCACTGTTTGCAAATGTAGTGGGTTCTCAAGTTCTGTCTCAAGTGATTCCATCCGATGCAACTGCGAAAATCAAAACTCTTAGATCAGGTTGGTGTAAGTTTTTTGCCTATTAATTTTCTTATTGCTGTTATGTCTGAGGAGAACCTAGCAACTTAAAGTGACGGTGATAGCGATCATTCTGTAGTCACAATGAATATCATTCTGGATGTATGATTAAGATGTTGACTGGGGATGGTTTTTACTTTAATTTTTAAATTCTAAAACTCATCACATCATTCACTCAAATGCTATTAAGATTTTGATTTTCAATTAGTTAGGAAAGCTACTTCTTTTATGTCTTTTAGTAGAGAAGCTAAAAGTTCTATGAGGAAAAGTTTCTCGAAAAAGCAAAAAGCAAAACTAAGAAACTTATAGAAAGAAATCGAATAACACTTTTCATTAAGAGCTTAGTCTTGATATTCCTATATTATGAACACTATTGTTTCCCTCTTTACTGCTCATCTTTTTATCTGAAGATTATTGTTTTCTGTTATTTGGGAAAATCATATATGGTTTGATTGTCTTCTATCGTGAAGATTTGTCTGCCCTGTGTTTTTTGTTGTCACATCATCTTTAAAGGTTCTGTTGCCTACTTTTGTTTGGGACAATGTGCCTTGTTTCTCTGGGTCCCTGGGTTAATTTATGATTATTTGTGGGTTAATCATAGTCTCTTAGAGTAAGAAGAATGATGGTATGACAGTTGATATGTAATCAACAGCCTGGAATTTCTGTTGCTTTTGCTACATCTAAAGTCAGATTAAAATGGTTGTACTTGCACTCACCAAATTCTCAACATTATTTTCTTGATGCTTCAGAAGCAAGGGTCACAATTTCAGAACCGGGGTCAGATAAGAGTAATATTCAGGTAACGTCCTAATCCAAAAGGGAATAATTTTGTTTGTTCACCTGTCAATTTGTAATTGGCCTTGCTGAAATTGCCTGTGACGTTGCAGAATGGTACATCTGAAGTTGCGTTGAACGTAACAGAAGCTAAGAGTGGCAATGTAAGTAGATTTCCTTTTCAAATGTATGATATCAACGGGTGAACTGGTGTGATTTTTATACCTAATTATACGCTGCAGATGACGGTAAAAACCCTAATGGAGGTGTATGAAGGCTGCATAACTCATTTACGGAAGTCCCAAGGAACCAGACGGGTCAACTCTCTGAAGAGAATTTCTCCAGCAAATTTTACCAGAGGGGTAAAGCATTTTTTTTTTTTTTGTACATACATTTAAATTACATAGCGATGTTCTTAATGATAGAAGGCCTGAGTAATGAAATATATTGACAATGCATGAAACAGACGCGTACAAGAGTTCCTAGAGAGGTGTATCAGCAGATCAAAACGCTTAACAACCTCGATGTGGAGCTTTATAAGTATGCGAAAGAAATATTTGCCCAAGAGCATGAGCTAGTGTCGAAGAAACTGATATCAACTGTAAGTCCCCTTGTTCAGAGTTTGGCGTTTTATGTTTGTTTGTTTGTTGTTGTTGTCAAAAGACGGCCGCTCTGTGTGTTTCTGATTGGCAAAGATTGGTAAGTGCAGTCAGAGAGAAGCATAGTGGATCTGCCGGGAGAGTTAAGGAACGTTTTGGGAGAAATGGGTGAAGAGAAGATGTGGAAGTTGTTACCAGTGGGATTGATAGTTATATTGCTCATAGTATTGTTTCTATTTGTAAACGCTAGAAGAAGAAGAAGCTCAAAGGTTAAGATTTGATATGATCCTTGGTTTTTTTTTATTTTTGTTTTGGTCTGTGACTTTTTTATTATTTGGGCCACAAGTGAGCAAATTGGAGGAGCTTTCTGTAGGGGTGCATAACTGTAAAATAATCTTTCTATTCTTTTCGACTTTGCCTTCCTTTCGTAGAGAAGAAAAAGTTGTTGCCTTACCGGTGAAAAAGAGAAAACAAAATCACAAGTAAGCACCTCTCTCTCTCTCTCTCTCTTGAAAGAACATTGAAAATTAATTAGATAAGAAGCATTTTAAAATCTGAAGAAGCAACCCACCAATAAAAAGTGAAAAGAAGATACTGTATGGGATTATGTGGCAAAGTAAGTACAGTAGCTAGAGTAACAGAGAGATCACTCCTCCCCCCCCCACGCACATGATGTTACATTTTGTAAATCACTCTATCAACGACGAATGACACAGTGTTATGATAAACAATAATGAATAATGTTAGAAAAAATCATCAAAATTTTTTTTTTAAAAAAATCAATATGAGAAGAAGAAGAATAATTGAAAGAAGTAGAAGTAGTAATAGAATACAAGTAAGAGAGGAGAAGGAAGACACATCACATGTGGGAAGATGGAAGCAAAGAGTTAGGCAAGGGTCCCACTTTCCCATGAGGATACATTTCTTCTTCTTTTTTTTTCTCTTCATTTAAAAAAAATAAAAATCATATACTAATAATAATCTTCAGTTCTACTAATAATAATAATATTGTCGCACCCCGTCGGTGATCTCTCCATTTCACTAATATCCTTTTGACTTCCTCTTTCTTTAGCTCCCTAAACATTCTTTATACTATTTTTTTGTTTTGTTTGTTTGTTTGATTAATAACATATATCTATCATATGATATATATATTCAAAATAATAATAATTATAATAATAATTAATAATTGTGTGTAGATCGAGATCTCTTTGCGAACCATGTTAATAATGAATAATGCTTACTCTAGTTTTTTTTATTTCTTTTGTCACCTGATCTTTGCATGTGCCTCTCTCTCTTTGCTTCCTCCTTTTTTTTTATTTATTTATATGACTATTCCATGTCCACTATAATCATATTTTTGACTCCTATTTATTACTACAATCTAAGTATATAACTTGATGTTATTTAATGTCAACATTTTAATTACCACCCATCATCTTTTTATATATTTGGTAAATATCTCTTTTCTTTTTTTTTTGGATTTCCTTACAACCGACATATATTCCCTTATATAAAAAAAAACCCATTCGGATAATAATATATCCTGACTTGGTTTTTATGTTTTTAAAAAGTTACCTAAACATACAATTTTTTTGGCAATAATCATATCTTTATTTACCTAAAACCCATACAGACAGCTGTACAGAATTTTATTTCTACCTCTTTCTTATTGGTGCAACAACGTAAGTTTTTTTGGATATTGAATGGATGATTTAACTTTCAACATATTTTTTTTCCTTTCCGTTTAATTTATTATATTTATTGGGATATATGTGAATAGTTACTACTACTACTAGTACCCAAAAATAATTTATTATTTAAAAAAGAGTTGTTTTCCTTAAGTAAAAAAAAAAGAATAAACGCGTGGATTTGAGATTTTTATTTCTTTCTTTGTATCCTTTCAAGTTAAGAAATGTGTTGATGATAGATTTGTTTTTTTTTTTGAAAAATAAAATAAAGCAGTTTCCTTAATTTTCATTTTCATATATTCCTTTCATTTGTTTATATTATTGATTGACAAAAATAAGAAAGGAAAAAGGGAAAAAAAGAGAGAAAGAAAGAAAGATGAAACTGACGAGACATTGAAAACTCCCATCTACCTCCTCTCTTTCTCCCTCCTTCCCTTCCCCTTCCCTTTATTTTTAGTTTTTTCTCTTTCCCAAATTCGAACCTGCAAAAATCCCTAAAATCCCCAATTTCAGACCAATTCCTCATCGTACGACTCCTTCCCCCTCTCTCTCTCTCTCTCTCTCTCTCTCTCTCTCTCTCTGGTTTTGTAGTCAATTAGTATATTACAAAGGTTCGTCCCTCTCTCTCTCTCTCTCTCTCTCTCTCTCTCTCTCTCTCTCTCTCTTTTCTTTAGGTTCTCTGAGCTTTCTCTTCTTCTTCTTCTTTATTTTTTTTTTTTTTTGTCAAAAAATCCTGTGTTACGCGTTTTGACTTATTTTCTTCTGTTTCGGAAAATGTAGGATACAGTTTTTTTGTTTTCAAAAAATAAAATTATATTGGTTTGCCTTTGTGACCGACACTTTTCTCTCTGGTTTTTTATTTCTCAGTGATGAATTAACCTTAAAAATGTCGCCATTGTATGCGTTTAGGATATTACATTTCCTTGTCGTCTCATCCCACCATTTCTGTCTTTTCAGTGATAAATTTATCGTAAGCTCGAATTTTACAATTGATAGCTAGTTTTGCAATCCTGCATATGCTTTTGCCTTTTGGTGAATTATTTTTTATCCCTTTGGTTTCGAAATCACCCAACCCTGTGTTTATCACTACAGTTTTTGTGAAGCATGAATTGGTTGCCTGAGGAGGATTTCAAAGGTATTCTCTCTGATGATTTCTTTGATGATCTCGTCGATCAACTTGATTGCCCACTTGAAGACATCGATACCACCAATGGTGAAGGAGATTGGGTTGCCAAGTTTCAAGACCTTGAGCCTCCTCCCATGGATATGTTCCCTACTTTGCCTTGTCACCTCACATCTTGTGCCAATGCCAAGCCCGCCCCTCTCGGCTTTCATAAAACTGTTCCTCCTTTGGTCAGTTCCTCCTTCCTTCACTTTTACATACCTGAAAGACATCTGCGTAGTGAGTTACTCTATAGCTGTTTATTGTCACTTTCAGCTGTGTTTGTTATCATAACCTGCAGCATTTTTCATGTAGAGATTATAGCTGACTCATTTGTTTCTTGAGTTTTCTTGTTTCGTTCACTGTATGTGTTCCTCAATTTCAATCTATCTGCGTCCGTTTTGTTGATGCAGAAGCACTCCAGTTCTTCTGAAGCCCTGTCCGGCATAAACAGCACACTCCTTCAATCTTCACCGCCTCCTGATATCAAAGTCTCAAAGATGTTTCAGTCTTTAAGTCCAGTGTCAGTTTTTGTGAGTAGTTGCGATTCCCTCTCCCCCCAGAACTCCAGATCCCAGGGATTGGCTTTCCCTGTCAAAGGCATGAGAAGCAAGCGCAAACGCCCCACAACACTGAGATTTAGCTACCTTCTCCCCTTTGAACCCAGAATGCCCGAGAAGTTAACTCCAGGCGAATCAGGGTCCGAGAGTTACCATTCTTCCGAGCAACATGCCAAGAAGAAACGCAAGATTCAGCTGACAACCCACACAGTGTCTTCCAGTTTTGAGGCAAGTAACTCGGACGGGATAGTCAGGAAATGCACTCATTGTGAGACAACCAAGACCCCGCAGTGGAGGGAAGGACCTAGTGGACCAAAGACCCTCTGCAACGCTTGCGGGGTCAGGTATAGATCTGGTCGTCTAGTTCCAGAATACCGACCAGCCTCAAGCCCTACGTTCATCCCATCTCTGCATTCAAACTCACACAGGAAGATCATAGAGATGAGAAGGAAGGACGACAATCAGTTTGATACCAGCATGATGCACGTGGTGATATCAGGAGCTTAAAGACAAGAGAGGGCAGGGCAGTTTTCAGTTTGGTCTCTGATCCGCAGATATGGGAACTCAGTGGAGGAAGAAGAAGGTATAAAATGTAGGGATTAGTGACTTTTCAAAATCTAAAGAAGAGAGTTTAGGGGTTTAGTTCAAGTTAGGAATTTTAAATAGTGTTGGTTTGTCATGTATTTTATGTGCTCTCTCCCATTTTGCGAGCTCTATGTTTGCAGAAGGAGATGTTTGGCTGACAGTTGTGTATCAGAGGAAGACAGGTGAAAGCCAATGTTTGCTTTTTTTTTTT